CTTTTTCTGCATGCCTGTAAGCAATGGTTAAAGTGGGGTTTGGCAGAAGGGAGAACTCTAATATTCAATGCAGCTGTACAGATTAGGGGCGGGATCATTTAAAAATAATACTTTAAGATCTAATTTAAACTGAAATGTGTTACCCTTGACATAACCACTTACAATGAACACCACAACCTGCACTGCTTAGTCTATGTGTGCCACAGTGCTGTAAACTAACCACTACAGCCTGCACTAAAATCCCCAGCATTTTCATCCAGCACATATATATGTACCATGTATAGGTCCAACATCTGATGACCAAAAAATAAGCATGGTTACATAAGCTTTAAATTTCCAGTTTATCAGATGCCTTTGAAAATAATTTCTCATCTCTATGAGGGAACTTGCTATACCACACACAATTGGCTCGCAGCCACACTGTGGTCCAAACGGTACAGAAGTAGTCTATATTTGCTGAACTTTTTGAAGCATTTGAAATTACCTGAACGTTATAAGTGTTACTCTGTTTATCCATGAACACCTTACTTGTGTTAATGCTGATGAGAAGGATATTGACGTGGAAGCTGGCTTGTAATTTGGCTGCAGCACATGAAAAATTAATTTTTTGGTTCTATTAGATATTAAACTGCTAATAAGATTTGATCACTTATTAGCTAAAAGTGCCAGAACTGGATCCATCCAGTCTACTTTAACCTCCGCCTATACAGTAAGATTAAAATGTAAAGTGAAATTTGCAAATTGAGTACTGACGATATTGTCATAAGGTATTCTACTTACAGACTGCAATTCGGAACTAGCCAATCCCCTCAAAAGTGCACTTTATGATTTGTTTTACATGTTACAAGAACACAGTGCATTTTATCAGCATCACCTGAGAATGAAAATTTGGCATTTTCTCAATGAAAATCTCTGTTGTGTCTCGCGTGACTCAGGCTATTGAAGGCTTTGCACTGATGGTAAAGAAAACGGCACAGACTCTGCAGTCATTTGGGACTGAGCTGGCAGAAACTGAACTCCCAAATGAAATACAGGCCACAACCATCCTTCTGAGCACACACACCAGCAAGAAAGAAAGAATGAAGGTAATACCTTCAAATACAAAAAAATGTATTCTTTGAAATTACAAGAGTAATATGATATGCATTAATTGCTTCATTGGTCTGTTCAGATAATGCATGCTTGCCCCATCTGTCTCTGTATTTCTAGGAGGATATACTGGTGGCTCTGGGTCAGGGCAGCAGGCTGTTGGAGAGCATCAATGAGCCTGTAGTGCGAGACCCCGACCACAACATGAACCAGGATGAACTGGAGAATCTGGCTACAGTTCAAAGGTTGGAACCAGTTACACCAGTGGCACAGCTGC